GAGCACAGCTAGGAGTGACCAGGAACAACGGTCACAAGCTAGCAGAGGGTAGATTTAGGTTAGACATCAGAAGGCGCTACTTCACAGTCAGGGCGGCTAGGGTCTGGAACCAACTTCCAAGGGAGGTGGTGCAGGCTCCTACCCTGGGGGTTTTTAAGATGAGGTTAGATGAACACCTTGCTGGGGTCATTTGACCCCAGTGCTCTTCCTGCCATGGCAGGGGGTCGGACTAGATGATCTTCTCAGGTCCCTTCCGACCCTAGAAACTATGAAACTATAACCAAAGGCTATACAAACAGTACTGGCTATTTACATTTTTTTGTTTTTTTGTTTTTATAGATTTAATATTTTAATTCTTTGTTTGATTTCAGGATAAAAGCAAACAGGATTCCCTTAAAGGAATGTAGTAATCATTTTAGAATCAAGGCAATATCTCCATAGTTTCCTTAGAAACTACTGCAATGTCCCCCATGCACACTGGGTGTATCCTGTGCTTTTTTGTCTGTGTTCTTTTCTATGTGGGCAAGACTGTCCCCATGTTTTGGCCACATGCTCAGCACATGGCAAGCTGGGGTCATGTCTAGGAGAAATATGGAAAACCCTCTGGCCTCAGTGGCCAAGGAAAGCAGAGGATTCTCAGACCAACTGGTTGGGAGAGAAACTGTTTGGACAAGGCCAGGGTGATGTCATGCAGAGGGATATAAAGGGAGCTAGACTGATTTGTGGGGAGCTGGTAGCAGATGCTGAAGAGTAAAGTCTCCTGCAAGGGAGAAGCAGTGCAGGTAGTGCAAAGGGAAGCTCAGGTTGAGGGGAGAAAGAGGGAGAACTGTCCCAGGGTCTGGAACTCCTCTCTTCTTTTTCATAGAATCAGTGAGTGGGAAGGGATCTAGACAGGTCATCGAGTCCGACCCCCTGCCATGGGCAGGAAGAGCACTGGGGGTGGCAGGGGTCATAAGACCCCAGCCAGGTGCCTGTCCAGTCTCCTCTTGAAGATTTCCAGGGAAGCACCACCTCTCTGGGAAGCCTATTCCAGGCTCTGGCCACCCTTACAATGAAGTAGTTCTTCCTAATATCTAACCTAAACCTATCCTCCCTCAGCTTGTGGCCATTGTTCCTGGTGACTCCAAGGGGGGCCCTGGTGAACAGACTTTCCCCGAGTCCCTGCTGGTGGCCCCTGATAA